TCCTATTATTACAAAATCTATCGTTAAGATAAAAAAAATCATTTTAAAATATTATTTATTTAACTGAATAATAATAAAACATAAATTAAATTTTTAGTGAGGGTGTGACGAGAGTTTGGAAGTGAAAGAATAATTGAGAATTTTAGGTGAAATAAATATATAAAGTGGGGAGATATTGTGTTGAAATTACGAAATAAAATATTGTGTTGATTTACATAGTTAACGAAAATAAAGTATTTAGCTTTGAAATTACAAAATAAAATTACGAAAAAAGGAAAGTGATATGACTAAATCTTAGCTTCTAACAATGGCTGAATAATATCTAAAAATAAAAATTGAATTATGAATAATTATAATTGTATTCGACCAGATTGAATAATTATAATGTTTATGGAAATTTGTTTGATTTTCTTCAAAACGTAAAGGTGTTTGCTATATATGTTTCTGAATATGTGATGTTTATAAATAATTCTCGCTGGAACAAGTTTTGTTTATATTCATACAAAATAATTCTCGCTGGAACAAGTCTTTCACTTCATTCACTTACATTTTTCTTTTCTTTCTTTTTTTCAGAATCATTATACTGTAAGGAGAAAACAACCATGGGCGTGACTGTTACACATTTACACGATGATTGTGCATTTGTTGTTCTGTCAAAGTTGCCTCTCAAATCATTGATTAGATTTTGTTGCGTGAGTAAGACATGGTCTCGTCTGTTTGATAATACTTACTTTATGAACATGTTTCGAAAGAATTTTTTATTGAAGAATCATTCTTATTACAATGATACATCTCTCCTTCTACATTACGATGAATCCTGGGTTGCCAAAAACCCATATAAATCTGGAATGTATTCTCTATCAGGGGAAAGATATGATAATATGGTAAATTTAGATTGGCCAAATGTATTTGGCGGAGACGAATGGTCGCTTCACATTTTGGGTTCAACTAGTATCAACGACTTTCTTTTTATTGAATTAAAAATGAGACCTGTATTATGGAATCCCACAACCATGGAATACAAAGTGATTCCTCCAAGTCCTTTTTCTATTGAATTAAATGTGGTTCAACCTTATGTTTATGGGTTGTGTTATGACCCAATTATAGATGATTATAAGGTGATTCAACAAGTAATGTTTCTTAATGAAGATGAAGCGTGGAAAGATATACGAATATACTCATTATGGGAGATGTATTGTCTAAAATCCAACACTTGGAAAAAGCTTGATATTATGACAACATATTATCAAGATGTTGTGGGGGTTCATCTGTTCAATAATGGAGTATGTCATTGGTTGGCCAGAAGTAACACAGATGAACCTGATTGTGAAACCAATCATGAGGTTCAATTGCTATCATTTAACATGAGTGATGAGGTGTTTGTTACAACATCCATACCTTCAAATTACATGGAGGATGTTGATTATAATTACTTAGCTATGTTAAATGGGTCAATAGCTTTGATTTCAGTTTATGCATATATTAGTACTTTTCATATATCAGTTTTAGGGGATGTTGGAAGAAATGATTCGTGGATCAAGCTCTTCATTTTTAAGTCATTGCCTTGCATTGGTCGTCCTATTGGAGTGAGTATAAATGGTGATATATTCTTTATAAAAGAGAATGAAGAACTAGCTTGGATTAATTTAACTACAGAAAAGATTGAAAACCTCGGTGTTAAGGGAAGTTTTGATTGTCAGATAATCAATTATAACAAAAGTCATGTGCCAACTCACGACTAATTTTTTCTTATAATTTTCAATTCTGTTTTTCTTTATACATGTGTACCAGTTTCATTTACTGATATTATTTTATATTAATGTGTGACTGTTATGTATAATGATTACTTTGAAATTATTTTTATGACACATGACATAAGTTCTAAAATGTAATATTTGAAGTAAATCTAGCAACAAATCAATACTATACTAGATATACTGTTAAAAGTTATTACGAGCTAGCATGAATACACACTTCTACCACAAGTATATCTTTTTCTACCATACGTAGCAATTTAGAGACAATTATTCTGTTTTCATTTCATTACTCACTGAATTGTTGTTTGATATTGCTTAGCATTATATGAGTTACACAAGAAAGCAACATAACAAGTTTTTAAATCCTTTACACAAATCTACTTGGGATATACATGCTCATGCAACTGAAGCTAGTAGTGTCTTACGTTTTTCTGTATCAACAAATGCTCCAACTAATGATCTAAGTAATATTGAACTTTTTTATACTTAACGTCCTTATTTTAGAGCCTTTTTTATATAATAATCTTAATTCAATTGTATTACTTTTATTTTGCTGATCATAAATGATGATATTAATGAAGATTCTCAATCATTCTAAGATAAAGAATAAAGAGACATTTATGTAGAATGTAAATGTTTAATTTTTTAATAGATGTCATTTTGATTATAAATGATAGTTGACACTAATATATATACATTGAAGATGGTATTTTGACAAGGATGGATAAAAATTTAGATTAACAATCGTATTAAAAATTATCTGTATTTTATATATTAAAATTATTGTTAGTTAGTTTTAATAATAATAATTTATCAGGTTGACAATATAAAAATTTCATGTGTTAGAAGAATGAAAAATTGTTGTAGTAGCATATGAAGCAAGCATTTAGATACGGGTGTACCAGAACCGTTTTGAAAAGAGTGGATAGTGTAAACCAGAGCCAAGTTTGATAAGAGAAAAGCCTAACCCATTAGAATCAATTGTAGCATTTGATTTAATTATCCGTGCTTCTGATAGTGTTAACGGTATTCTTTGTATTCAAGAGTCCGGAAGCATTCCTGGGAGATATGTATTGTGGAATCCGGCTACCGGGGAATTCCAAATCACTCCTACTAGTCCTTTTGCATTTGAATCTCCCGAGATTTATTTTCATGGATTTGGCTATGATCGAATTAGAGATGATTTCATCCTAGAACTGTTGAAGATGAAAATGAGAGATGGAAAGATGGATATTTTTCTCTGTTGTGGGAAATATATTGTTTAAAAAGCAAACTTGATATAGATATGGCTAGTCAATATCATAGTGTACGTGGATGGAGTGTGTCATTGGTGGGGTGAAACACGTAATGATGTTTATTTGGTGTTTGTAAAAACATCCATACCCTCAAATATGGATGATACTGATATTGACAACGGTATTGATAGACACTTGGTAGTATTAAATGGAGCAATTGGTTGGATTTCAGATTATCATGAAGCAACTACTTTTCACATATCAATTTTGGGTGAAGTTGGGGTGAAGGAGTCGTGGACAAAACTATTTGTTGTGGGTCCATTATCATGCGTTCAGGATCTTATAGGAGTAGGCAAGAGTCAGGATAAATGATAATGAATTAGTTTGGTTTAATTTAAACACCCAGAGAATACAAGAGCTTGGTATTAAAGGTCACTATGACTGTATGATAGTGGTTTACAAGGAAAGCCTTCTACCATTTGCAAGAATCAATAATTAGTTATATTCTTAGTAACTATGATTATTATGATTTTAAGTAAAGTACTGATTTTCACCTTTCTATGTCTTGTAATGTTACAGATGTTTTTGTTTTTTTGCATTAGATGTATATATGACTATGATTCTAAATTAAAAGTATTGATTTTCAACTTTGTAAGTCGAATAATGTTATAGATACAAGTGATATTTTTTTTCACTTTATGAGCACACTGGTATAGCAGCAATACACCACTTGTTATATTCCTTATATATACTCCTATGGCATAAACAGGGACAACATGTCTTGTGAAATGAAAATGTAATATAGTTTTACATGCAATATTATGAACGAAAATGTACTGTAGTTCCTCTCAACATTGGAGTATTGAATAGTATGGAATCAAGGGTTGGCTCCAACAAAAACTGAATGGAAAGTGGACTAAAAGCAAGGTTGAAACTAAATGGAATGCAATTATGCAGGTCTTTTATCTCTTACCATTGAAATGGGGCTGGAGCTTGATTGGATACCCGCATTCGGTATTAGTGATGATAGGGTTTTGCCTTTGAGATGTTTATGGCTAAAGTATGTAATATATTTTGTACTTCTGCTAAGTTTACAGCCCTCTTTGTAGTTCTGCTATAAAGTTCTATCTGAACAATGATACATTCATTAATAATGATTGGATTATTCAATACAAATTTATAATCGTCATGCTTTGTTACTATTATCAATTACTGCTGAAATGATCATTTTTTCCACAGTGAATAGATCATCTCTTGTATTATTTAAAGTGTGATTTCTCGTTACTAAAAAAAGAGCAATACATAGGATGTTTCAATAGATAGAACTTGAATTACAAGAGATCAATCATACTTGAAATAAATTTCATTCTCATAATTTATTTTACGATTCAATTCCCACATGTTGTCAATTATACTGCCTAGTTTCTAATTAACAAATTGTCTCTTACAACCAAGATTTCCAAGATATACTCAGATATACTTTGATAGGAAAGTTAACCAAACTCGCGGCTTTCACAATGTTCGAATTCAGAATGCAATTGAAATAAACAGATTTTATGAAGCAAAACAATTGATTGACATAATAAATAAAAGTGTTAGAACATACATTAGACAATAGTAAAGAACAAAATATGTATGATTATTTTCGGTTAAATATTATTATAACATTGTTGACTATAAAAAGGCCCTGCGTGGCTCTAAACTCATCAAAATTCAAGAGTTTTTTCTGTCTTGTGGCGTGGTTCAAGAGAATTGGTCCATTTCATTAGCAATAATTATCTTTCCAGATAATGCCACCAAACACATTCATCAAATTATAAATTATACCTTTCTAAACATAAAAGAACCGCGGAGATTTAAAATAATGGCGACAATGAATATCTTAACTAATATCAAGCCAACCAATACCATGCGAGTTACACGAGATATATCTATAAAATACCAACACCAAAGTTTTTTTTCAGGAAGAGAAAGAAGTGAAAACAAAAATCTCTATGTGAAAGTCTTCTCACTTTTGACTGCCAGCTTCAGTTGGCTCGACCACTTCAGCTTCAACCGTTTCTAGAACATGGGGTTGAGTTTGAGTGGACTCAAACTGACTTGGAGGAGATGACCATTTACCACTAAGAGCCATACCCATCATCTCGTATATTTTTCCTCCAAGTTGTGCTGGATTATCAGGCTGCACACCAACAACATATTGAGTGTTATTACATACAATATTTATTAGACGCCTATTGATTTGAAAGACTACTAAAATCTAATAGCATGCATTCCATTTTTGCACCATTTTATTCTCTGAAGAAAATATTTAGCCTATTGATTTGAAAGACTACTAAAATCTAATAGCATGCATTCCATTTTTGCACCATTTTATTCTCTGAAGAAAATATTTAGAGTATCACGTGAGATGCAACTCATCTTAACATAATTCAATGTAGCAGACAGTTTAATTTTCAGGCATGATTATATTTAACTGTTCTATTTTTTCAGATTATTAACAGTGTGAATATCATATCCAATGTCTGAGGACCTTAAATCTCTTTAATAGCAGTGATATTAACAAAGAGCTTACCGTAAATCCACTGGAAACCAAAGCTGCATCGTACAGAAGATCAATAGCTCTGAGGGCCTCTTGGTCATCGGGATTAGTTTTACAAGCAGCCTGTAATTTACCGATTTAATTACATCACTATTATTTTAGTTTGCAGTTAATTATATCATTAGACTTAGGACACATGACAAAAATAGATTCGTACGTCCAAGTTCTTGATAATAGGATGTTCAGGGTTGATCTCAAACACCCTTCTGCTTCTCATGAATTCCAAGCTAGTGGCATCACCCATTGTTTGTGACTTCATTAGCCTGGAGCAGCAAGTTTGATTTACATTCAGCACAGTGCTACTTACATTTTCAAAAACATTATAATGAAATGTGTATGATAAAGTAAGACCCGCCTTTCCATGTTTGCAGACCAACCAAATTTTCCTGACACCAGGACACAAGGCGAAGAGCTCAATCGGTTTGAAATCTGCACACTTGCAACTTTATCTCCCAAACGTTTCTTAATCCAATCAATTGTCCCACTATATTCCTGCTTAATCTCTTTTTCCTTTTCCTCATTTTTGTCACCTGCAGAAACAGAGACAGCAAACTACATTTAGCAAGTTTAAATGGTTAAGAACCAAACCATTAATCCATGCCACTGTAAGGGATACCGGCAAATATTTGATCTATGAAACACATAAGCTTCTCAAAGTTGAGTGATTGTCCAGTACAGAATTTAATCCAAAACAAATCACGAGAAGGAAACATAATTGAAAAAGAACTAAACCTAGATCCAAGTCTTCCTTGCTAATATCAACAAAATTCTTTTCCTTGTATGATTTAATATTTTGGATGGCAACCTCGTCTATTGGATCCACCAAAAACAGCACCTGCAAGATTAAATAACAAAAAGCCCCAATATAAAAATAAATAAATAATAAACAATAGTTGATCAAATTTTACAAACTATAACAAAAACAAGTTTATACTTCAAGATCCTTCTCCGCAAGTTTCTCCAAGAAAGGTGTGTTCTTTGCACTATTCACACTGTCAGCAGCAATGTAATAAATATCCTTTTGATCAGGTTTCATGTTCTCAACATATTCATCCAAGCTGATAAATTCTTCCTCACTTTGGGATGAGAAAAACCGAAGCAACGGAGCAATGCGTTTGTGATTCTCTCGGTCTTCAATGCAACCCAATTTCAAGTGTTTGCCAAAGTTATCCCAGAACTTCTCATAGTCCTGCACACAGAACAAGGCAGCTGGTAAAATATTAACAGGAAACATGCAAACATTTCCATAAATAGTAGTTATATAAACATTTCCATGCAAACAACTGAGGGAAAAAATGATGCAAAAAAAGGTTTCTACCTACAAATTTTCAGAATTAGATCATACCTCTTTGTTATCACTCATGGATATCCCCAAAATCATATCAAAAGCCTTTCTGACCAATCGCTTCCTCATAATCCGCACCTTCAAAAACCACATAGAAACAAAATTTTCAGCAATGTAAAACTAACAAAGTTTTATACGTTTATAATCAAAGAAAAACTTGTGGAATGTTAAGTACATGTCTGCACCCTATCTACTTACTATGCGGCTCTCTTGAAGAATTTCACGTGACACATTGAGTGGAAGATCATTCGAGTCGACCACACCTTTGACAAAACTTAAGTATCTTGGGAACTGTTCAAGTAATACATCAGAGCATGATAAAATACTGAAAAAAAAACATCTAATTACTCAAGAAGTCAATATGATTGTACAAGAAAGTGCCTATACCAGTTCTCCATCAAAGTCATCTGAAATAAATACTCTCTTCACGTAAAGTCTTATATTTTTGGTCTTGGGATTGATTACATCATCCTTCCCTGATGGAGCATAGGGAGGAACATAAAGTATAGACCTAAATTCTACCTCACCCTGCATACATCACCAGAATATTAGCTGTCAACTTAGTATTGTGATTATCATGCTTAAAAAAATTGCACTTGAGAAAAAAACATACCTCTGTGGTAAAGTGTGATGATGCCAATGGCTCCAAGTATTCATTAAATGTTTTCTTGTAAAACTCATTGTAGTCCTCTTTGGTGACTTCTTTAGGATTACGAAGCTGCGCAAATAATGTGTAAATCTTCATCTTAGGTAACCAACTTCCACTTTAAGCACAAATCATGCAGTTGGAAATCATAAAACTAACCCAGATAGGTTGTGTCTCATTTGTGAGCTCCCAGTCCCAATACTTCTCAACAACAGTCTTAGTTTTCTTTTTCTTCTGTTATAAAAATGCGTCAGGTTATAAAACGGCCAGCACATATGCAGCAGTTATACAATCAAATTTGTAATCATAATTTCATAGACAATTGATTCAGGGAATGCACGGTATGTGCAAAATATTACCTCAGTCTTCTCATCTTGGTTGTCCGTTTTCGCCTCAGTTGGATCCTCATCAACCTCTATCTGTAATGGACAAATTATGATAAAAGCTCAAAAACCAATTTCACATCCAGTTTTCAAGGGTTGTGGAACGAAACAATCACAAAAACGGACAGCGTCAACAAAATTATAAGATCTGGAGTGCATAGTCATACTTCTTTGGTGAATCCCTTTTCCTGCCAAGTGTATATTGGGAATGAGACAAATTGGGAGTAGTTTTTCACAAGCTTCTCAATTCGCTCTGGGTGTGCAAAACCTTTGTCATCCCTCTGAAAACCAGCAGTGGGTTAAATGCACAGACAACATAAGCTCCAGAATAAAGAAACTAAAATACTATCAGAAGCTCTAAAATAGAAAATTTTGACATACCTTTAGATGCAGGGTAAGGCGAGTTCCTCTTGGAATCAGCTTCTCCTGATCCGTCTCCTCAGATATGGTATATGAGCTAGCATTTACCTCTCCTTCCCAAACGTATTGTTTATCTGATCTTGGACTCTTGGTTGAGACAACCACCTTCAAACCATACAAAAATATACATATATAAACTGCCAAGTAAAAACTTAAAATGAAGTACCACGCCATCATCACTTTTATCCAAATGCATACCCGATCAGCAACTAGAAAAGCAGAATAAAATCCCACACCAAATTGACCAATTAAGTTGTTGTCACCACCAGCACCCTTGCTATCCTATTGAATGAAACACCTTTGTCAGCACACAGGATACATAACAAAATAAAATAAGGTCAATGTAATCCTAAATCATTCTTCAGAAGAGGCAAGACCTTGAGAGCCTTCAAAAACTTTGCAGTTCCACTTTGAGCAATAGTTCCAAGACAGTCAACTAGTTCCTGCTTAGTCATGCCAATGCCTGTATCACTGCAAAAAGCAAAAGTTACAGCACCAACTGCATTGAAACAAATGAAAAAATTAATTAATTAAAAGTGAATTGTCTTACGTAATAGTGATGATCCCATTATCTTTATCAGCTTGAATTCGGATGTCAAAATCAATCGCATCCTTCATCAGGTCAGGCTCTGTAACACTCAAAAACCGCAGCTTATCCAAGGCATCACTTGCATTACTGAGAAAAAAATTGCACATATTAACAAACTGAATAATGCAATGCAGCGCAGCATCTTGAATTTTTCAACAATATTTACAGAACAAATTTTGAAGTGGAGCTTCCATGCAAGGGTTCTTTAAGATCAAAAGGTTCAACTTGAGGAATTATCCTCTTGTAAGTTAAAGGTAAAACGACCTACAAACAATAAATGCATAACAGGTCCAACCCTTCACAAGTTTATGCCATTATAAGAGATTTATAACACTAGATTGACCTGATTTCTAGAAATAGTTTTCTAGTAGAGAGAGAGAGAAGCTTAAGTAACTTTTTCAAAATGAATACTGAAACTTGCTGCAATCTATTGGGGGGAGGGGGAAACCAGAACTAGTGTATACCCTTAAAAGGGCAACTTAAGTTAGTAATATTATGCGCATAATTGAAGGGAAAAACATTCACCAATGCTTAAATTATGTAATTCTATCTACAAGTGACGGAACGTACCTGATAAGTTCCCTGAGAAACACTTCCTTGTTACTGTATAAACTGTTAACAATAAGGTCCATGAGCCGACTAACCTGCCAAAGATACACAGTATCCAAAACAATGTTCACGATATATATCAAGTGCACTAGAGGTAACAAACCACACACATAAGAAAGACGACAGTACCTCTGCTTGGTACTCAAATTTCTCAGCTGGTGGGGAACTTGATGCACTAGATTCTGCAACAGTTGATTCATATCGTTTTCCCAAAAACAAATCTCTTTTCAAGTTTAGCTGATCAACACTGCCGGATTTCTCAGAACCTAATATTGAATACCATCTGGATTTTGAGTCATTCTCTCCCACCTGCCCCCAATCAGAAAACATAAGATATGTATAAACAAACAAAAAAAACAATTATTTAAAAACAACGGCAACAAAAATTATCAACGCTCCGACTTTTAAACTTCAAAAAAGGTTAGTGTAATCATCTAGCACAGAAAACCAACTGTGTAACTTCAACAAGGACATAAACCAGCAAAAATTCAATGTGCAATAATAGTAATCATCATTCATAAGAGAACACAAAACGCGATATTCAAACAATCGTTTCCAGTTGCAATAATAATTAAACTAATGATCTAAACGATAATCATCATATAACATTTTAATACCCATGCTCCCACATTTAAACTTCCAAAAGGCAAGCATTATCATCTAACACATAAAACCAACTATGTAACTTCAAAATGGACATAAACCAACAAAACTTCACCTTGTAATAATAGTCATCATCATTCACGACAGAACACTAAACACAAGATTCAAAATAATCATTTCCAGTTGCAATAATAATTGAACTAATAATCTAACAATAACAATCTAACAGTAATCATCATATAACCTATGAAACACAGACACCAGAAACAAGACATCAACACCGACACTTCGACACTGATAATAATTTTTTTTTAAAATTAATAAACTAAAAGTTACCACAGGTGTTGGTGTCAGTTTTGGACCCCGACACTGACACGGAAACACTTTTTTTCCAGAGGTGTGCTACAGAGCATATAACCATTTTAATGCCCATGCTCCCATTTTAACACATAAAACCAACTATCTAACTTCAAAAAGGACGTAAACAAACTTCAATTTGTTATAATAGTAATCATTCATAACAGAACACGAAAACGCGAGATTCAAATAATCATTTCCAGTTGCAATGAAAATTAAACTAATGATCTAACGATAATCGTCATCATATAATCATTTCAATGTTGCTATCACGCATTATAAAAATCAAACTACACAAATAACAATAAAACGATAAAGATTATTGATGAAAGTATCTAGTATTGGAGTTATAAATTGAGATGAATACCAAATGAGAGTAAGATGTGGAAAGTGGGAGAGCAGCGTCACGGCGAAGTGCGCCGCCGTAACGGAGTAGGGCGGAGACGGAGGAAGAGCGATTGGAGAGTCTGTGCATAGTGGATTGAGGAGAGTGTGTGATTCGCAAAATGCGTTGAGGAGAGAAATGAAATGGTGGTAGGGTTTTAGCAGGGGTTTGTGTTACCACAAAAATGGGGTTTTCAGAAGCTTCTCGATTCTCCTCGTTTACAAATTCGCTTTTTTTTTTTTTTGAGAAAAGTTTCACTTTTTTTTTTCTGATGCCAACCATTTTTTGTAATTAAATTTTAATTTATTTATTTTGTATTTTAAAATATTTTATTATGTTGTTAATAGTATAATGATGTGTAGTTTATTAGGGTAATAAGTTGAATGAAAGTATTCAACACAAACTTAATATTTAAAAAATGCCTAAAACTTATTTTTTTTTATTTTAAAATTTAAATACAATTGTCGACGTTATTTTCTCTTTTACGTTTATTGTACATTTGTAGTTTATGGATTATAAGTTAATGTTGTAGTAAATTCTGAAGTCGAAGAGCTAGTATAGCTATCAAAATATGTTAGTTTGTTATTTAAGTTAGCATGTTAAATTAAATCATTCTGTTTGGATGACAGTTTAGTATGTTAGTTAAAAGTTAGAGTTTAGTTTTTTTATAAGTAGTATATTAGTCATCATTTCTTAATGAATTCCTAATAATCCTGATCAGAGGGAGAAAGGGGTGTGGTTAAGATTCAATGGTAAACATTGTACCTTAATGTGTAATTGAATCAAGAGTCCAATTTTTATACCATTTTGAATTGTCTTTCTCTTCCCTTATCTATTTTCTTTTACTTTGTGATTTTCTTGTTGATCAAGAAATCAATCATACTCTGTTGTCTATCCATCGCTTTCATAATAAATTGGTACGGTGGGCGTGGAGCAGAAGATGTCGTTAAAAAAGTATGAGATTGAGAAACTCATCTGTGTGAATGATTTCAGTTTGTTGCACTTAAAGATGCAAGTCCTACTGTTTCATCAGGGTTTGTTTTGAGCGTTGAAAGGATCGGAAAAGATGGATGATCCCTTAACGGAAAAGAAGAAGATGACGATCATAAATCTCACAGTGTCATCATATTGAGCCTTGGTAATAAGGTTCTCCGGCAGGTCTCGAAGGAGAAGACGACGGCGGGTGTATGGAGCAAACTCAAGGGTTTATATATGACCAAATCCTTGGTCATCGCCTCTACCTGAAGCAAGCCTTGTATTCATTCAAGATGAGTGAAAACAAAGTTTTGACTGAGCAGTTGGATATGTTGAACAAGTTGATTCTTTTGATCTTGAAAATATTGAGGTCAAGATTGATGATAAAGATCAAGAATTGTTGTTGTTGTTGTGTACTTTACCAAGATCTCTTACTCACCTCGAAGAAACCCTTTTGTATGGAAGAGAGTCTCTAACCTTTGAAAAAGATCAAACAACCTTGTACTCGAAGGAGTTGGACGAAAGAAAAGAGCAAAAATTATCATGTGTTGGAGAAGGTTTGTCCATTGATAACGCGAAATCATATATATATATATATATATATATATATATATATATATATATATATATATATATATATATATATATATATATATATATATATATATATATATATATATATATATATATATATATATATATATATATATATATATATATATATATATATATATATATATATATATATATATATATATATATATATATATATATATATATATATATATATATATATATATAATGATGTACTTTTCTACTAATCGGCGACCATTTTCACTCCGAATTCGGATATTTCCACACTATTTGCCCAGTATTTTGCAGGTATTCAAAGTCCATGCTCAAATGGAGCAAGATAAAGAAAAGAAGCATTTACAGGTGAAAACCAGGTGAAAATCAGGCCAAAAAGCAGCAAAAACGAGTTTTGCTGATATGACGACCGTCACAAGGGTGTGACGACCGTCATGCGTGTGACGACCGTCACAGGTCCATGACGACCGTCATGGAGTTAAAATGCAGTTTTCTGCACGTGCTGTCAAATTATGAAAATGCAAAGAGAAGTGGACCACTAACTCCTATATTTTCTGATATCATTCCCACTTCCCGGAGAAATAAACCGTTGAATATCCCATCTATAAAAGGAGGTAGCTGGTACCAGAGAAAGGGAGCTGCATTTGAAGAAACAAGTGCTGCCAATTTACCTTCAGAGCAATTATTCAATTTCCAACTTTCTTATCGTTGTTTTATTTCCTTTTTCTTTCCTTCCTTGCAATTGTTGTTTTACTTTCCCATTTCTATTCTGTACGAGTAATTGGCATAAAGACTAAATCCTGCCGCCATTTTGGAGGATTTCCCAAAAGCCAAATCAAATTGTTTACAGGTTTCTATTCTAATCGTAAATTGAATTGTTATTTCCTATTGTAATGCATATTATTAATTTCTACCATTATTTACGTGTTGTTTATCTATATTCCATGTCTGGCTAAATCTTAAGTAATCTGTATGTAATAAATAATCGGATGGAATTCAATAATTAACCGGTGTATATCTACCTTTTCAAAAACTTATTTATGGCTTCAGTTTTTAATTGACTTTTCTAAATAAACCTTCGTCGCGACAGCGAGAAATTATTTACAGTAGTTTTGCCACGAAAGTGGGAAAATCATAAAGGTACGAACCAATAAGCGACAACTGAGGCTAAGACCAGATAGTAAAAACTAGGCATTCATTTTAAAAACATCGACATCGCTTTAAAAGGAATTAGAACTTAATAGTTTTCAAAAAGTAACTTTAACCCCGAACGGGATAGCGACAGCATACGTTCCGCCTTAGAGTTGCGACTAGCGTCAACAACCATCGTGAGACAAAGGTCTTTAAACCATCATTTTCTTCTTAAACTATTTTTGAAAACCTAAAGACACCGGTGACCTATAGAATCTCTAAAGAAATAACATATTACATACCGATTCAAACATTTATACCTTAAGTAAAAGCTTTAGTTCCCTTTAGTTCACACACTTATTTTGTTATTATTCCCCTAAAACATTACCAACCTAGCTAAACACCGTAACACCCGATAATACTAGTTTGATTACGAGTCCCTGTGGGATCGATATCTATTATTACTACGCGATAGACTGTGCACTTGCAGTTAATTGAGTTAGACATAGAAAGTCGCGATCATCCATTAAAGGAAAGTTCTCAAAGAAAGATGGTAAGTATGAGAGAAAGAAGGGTGGAGTTCTACAAAATTCTTATAGTGGTAATGATCCTGCAATTAGGTGTTAACATTGTAAGAAAGAGGTACATACAAGAAAGGTGTACCTTGAACGTCTGAATAATCATGGTGGAAAAGATAATGGTCATGCAACCATTGTGCAAGATGATTATGAATCATCTGATATCCTGATGGTTTCAAGCAGCGACTCTAGCAAGGGTGGATTATGGGGTCAGGGTGTACTTGACACATGAATCCAAAAAAATACGTGTTTGGGAAATTATGTGACCAATATGGTGGATCAGTGCTGTTGGGAAACAACAAAGCCTGCAAAATTACAGGTATTGGATATGTATGATTCAAGCTTCATGATGAGACAATAAGGCTATTGACTGATGTTAGGCATGTACCTAATCTTAATAGAAATTTGATTTCACTTGGTAAATTTGACAAGAAAAGATATGTTTTCAAAGGAGGGCAAAGTATCCTAAGGGTAACAAAGGGGTCGAAGAAATTCTTGACAGCCATTAAGAGGCAAGGCATGTATACCCTTGAAGTTGAGGTTATAAGTAATTCAACGGTTGTGGCATCCACAAAACATGTGTCGAAGACTGAGTTATGACATAAGCGACTTGGCCATGTTAGTGAAAGATGCATGGTTGAATTGTCGAGGCAAAATCTGTTAGATGGTGACATGGTCGAAAAGTTGGAGTTATGTGAACCTTGAGTGTTTAGTAAATCTTGTAAAATGAAGTTTAACCAAGGTAAACAAAGAACACGTGGATCCCTTTACTATATCCATGTTGATCTTTAGGGATCTGCAAAGAATCCTTCACACTCATGTGCATAATATTTTATATCCATAGTTGATGAATATTCTAAAAAGTTATGGGTATTCGTCCAGAAGACTAAGGATGAAACTTTTGAAAATTTCAAAAATAAGAAGACTCTACTCAAAATTCAGACTGGTAGGAAGGTTAAGAGGTTGAAAACTGAAAATGGCTTTGAGTTTTGCAATGAAGCTTTCGACATTTACAGTAGTATGTATGGTATTACAAGGCACGAGACTACTGCGGGTACTCCTCACCAAAATGGTCTGGATGAGAGATTCAATTAAACAATCCTAGAAAAGGTTAGATGCATGTTGGTTAGTACTGGACTGAAGAAGGTGAATTGGGTTGAGGTTGTTGTGACTGCAACATACCTGATAAATAGGTGTCATTCAACTGCCTTGAGGATGAAGACTCCTGAAGAAGTTTGGTTAGGACATCCACCTGATCTCGACAAACTTAGAGTATTTAGTTGTTTAGCCTATGTTCATATTAGTCAATACAAGGTCAAACCTAGGGCTCTAAGATGTATGTTCCTTGGATACCCTGAATAAGTCAAAGCTTATAGATTGTGGTGTCTAGAACCAGGTCACAAGAGGTGTGTCACAAGTCGAGATGTAATTTTCAATGAAGCTGAGATGTCTTTTAAAAAAATGATGATGATGGTCAAAGTATGAAGATCTATAAAGAAGAGTTGGAACATAAAGAGATTCCTATTAAGGTGGAACATAGTGATGCTAAATTGCATAACCCAGATGAACTCGAAGAATAAGCACAAGTTACTGATGAAGACGAGGAGATTGATAATGACTACCTTCTGACAAGAGACAGGTCGAGAAAAGTCATCAAGCCACCTCAGAGAGTTAGTTATGTAGACCTCATAGCATTCTCCTTAATCTCTACAAGTGAGGTTCTCGATGAAGAATCTAGAGACTACAAGGAAGTTGTTAAGAGTCGAAATAAGAGTGAATGGCTGAAAGAAATGGAAGATGAGATGAAATTTCTTCATG